GTAGTCGAGCATTGGTATTCTTAACTCAGCTATGCTACAGATATATCTAACACCCACCCAACCGTGTCTTTTGACTAAGCAATAAATAAACAATCTCTTTCTTTTTATTTATTTATTTAGAGATATTCTCTTCTCACTAAATTTATATTCAACCAATTTTTATATAAAAACTTTAATTTTATAAATGAAATTCTCGTTTTTCTTAAAAAAAATCACTATGCAATAATGGTGCATACTTATTTATAGAATATAAAATTATTCTACTAACCATGTGTTAAATATTTTTCATGAATATTTAATTAATGATATAATCTTTGAACGATAAACAAGAGATTAGACAACAAATAATTTTTCAATTCATCTAATCGATCTTTTAAGCACATGTTTCTTATTTTAAGGATAAAAATTACATTTCTTAATCTATAAAGCTATTTAATTCTTAATATTGAGTTTTGTTGATGTATAATGGGTGGGGTGGTGGTTTAGATGCTGGGGAAGAAGGTGGTTAAGTCAATGATTTGTAAATTCTTCTTTCTGATAGAAACAAAAAGTCATTGATTGGTTATCTTATTGAAGTAATATATGTTCTCTCTCGTCCCCACGGATGTTTTATTATATGTCTCGAGTGATATGTTTATAACTAGCGTGATATGTTTATCCCATGACTACATATGTTTTCTCTTATCGTTGTCTTTTCAAACGATGGCTTTTTTTTATCATTTTAAGTGGAGGATCATACATTATTTCAAGAATTACTTTACTAGGCACTCGAAGTTAACATTCCCTCGAGCAAGCTTGGTTTCTTTTAAATAAAAAGGAAGGTCATTTAATAGTCCTTTTATCACGATGCATTTCACATTTTAAGAGTTATTAACCATGATGCATTTTATTATTACCATTTATACAATATAATGATCCAGCCTTTATATGCTCGATTCAATAGTTTTACATCATTCTCATCATACTAACTGTGAGGTATTCCATTCAGGGATAACTCCGCAAAGCGTGCAGAGACATCTTATTTTGAAGAATCCCTAAGGCCACATTAGCACTAATCTAGTCTAGCGATGGAGTGTCTTATGGGCATTTTCATTTGTACAAATGGATGCAATCAGATTATGCGAGACTTTAATGGTTCACTCTTTTTTATTTAAGTCCAGAGTCGCATAATAATCTCGTCGACACCGTTTTTCGCCCGGGGAAAACTCGTACGACTTTGGGTTTTTCTTTGAAAATGTTTTGAAATGTGAGGAGTCACCACCAATTATTTTAAGGTAATATCGGGATACCATAAAAACCGGGTTATTTTAATAAAATATTTTATTTTTATTAAAATACCAAATTTTAGGGTCAGCGAAAACCAAAAAATAGGTTCGGTAGTCAGTTACGTGTGGGGAAAGATTAGCACCCCCACAGCGCCCAAAAATTGGTACTTAGTTGATTACCCTATATTTAAAATTGAAAATTTTGAGTTCGAACTTCATCTAATTTTAAAATCATTATGGATGCAAAATTGAAAAGGGTATTCGTTTATTAAAGCCAATAACATTCGCCTCTAGAATGAATGCGGGAGATCAACTATTGTGCCTAATAACTGAACATTGCATCGATGTTTTAGAAATCATGATGCAATCCTGAAAAGAATGTCGACTTATTTCGGGAATCACCAGTAGTCACCCTCTGAGCATACTTGCGAGAGATATACTATTGACTTCCTAATAAGTGAACATTGCCTTAGGTTTTAAAAGATGATGCAATCAAACAATTTTTATTGACCCTAATTAAACTAAGGATAGATTAAGTCTTTCTCTATCTTAAAGTGTCAAATTATGAAAATTAAAGAACCTAAAGGCATAAACCTAAAATGTAGGTTCCACTATCAATCCTACTTGATTGATTTTTTAACTAGTTATTAAATCGAATAATCGATATGGTCCCTTGAGCATTTAGGCAAGGGTCAACTCAGATTACACCCTAAATTAAAAGGACTAGATTGAAATTTAGGCTCTAATTATCCCAAATGATTATGTTAATTTAAGACTCTAATTAATAGTAAAAGGTCTAAAAAAATAAGAAAACTAACATTTAGATACCTAAATGTAAAACTCTATAGTTTGGGGACCTTAGTGTAAGTAAATTAAAGTAAAAGGACTAAATCTATAACACCTAAAGTTTAAGGACTAGCCAATAAATCAAGGTTCTAATAATTGCTCTAATTAACTATTAAAAATAAAGGGGTTGAACTAAATAAGTTTAAAAAATTAATGATTAACAATTTGAGGATTCGAACAATCGACTCGAGTAATCAAGCATTTTATGTCAAAACTAGAATCGAATTGTTCCCTAATTAAGTCTAAGGTGAAACTCTAATTACTAAATCAAAATTTTCACTTAAAGAACTTAATTCACAAACTAATTCTAAAAGGATAACTAAATTAAATAAATATGAATATAAAATAACCATGCATTTTAAAGTATCAAACAACTAATAAAAAATTTAAACACAAAAAAAAATAAACAAACAAATACGACTTTTAATCAAGATCTTAACAAATTAAATATAAAATGACTAAATCACATTGTCATTAAATTATAGGGATTTAAAAGAAATAAATTAAACATGTAATACAAGGATTATATTAAAATAAATTTAAAATTGAATGACTAAATTAAAACAAAATAAAAAAAGTTAGTGACTAAAATATAAAGTTACGTTGAAACTATAGGGATTAAATAATAATTATCCCTTTTGTAAGCAGAAAATACACTGTTAAAAATGTGAAAATTACAAAATCAGTCTATCAAAATTAAAATTAAATTAAATAATCACTACAAGTTACCAAAGTGCAAAAACACTCTAAAACTAAGGGACCTAATCGTGATTAACCCAATCAATACATAACATGAGTAAAAAAGGGGGAAATAATAAATTTGGTCATCGCATGTGACCAAAGTACAAAAACACGATAAAATTAGAGGGACCTAAGCGTGAATAACCAAAAAACTCTTATATAAAACATATTTCTCTATTTTTCTTCATTTTCACCTATTCTTTTGAATAAGAAAAAAAGTCAAAAAACTCTCCCCAACTCTTTCTCGGCCAGCCTTACCGAGACCTTCCCCCGCCGCCCATGGTGGTCAGAAATCCCAACCGAACCCAATTTTTTTTTTACTCAGATCTAGGGCTAAATCTCCTAACCAAACTCCTAAATACCCAAAGAATACCCCGTCTCTTCGGCTCCTCTATCTCCGACCACCATGCCGACGAACAACTCATGGTTTGACTCCCCTCTCAAGTAACTATTCGGTTCCCTTACTCTTTGTTTTTTTTCGAAAACTAAAAAAATTACCTTGAATTTTTTTGCTCTTTATTGCTTTGAATCTGAAGGGAAAAGTCCTTTTTTACATCTGATTTTCGGTTTTTTGTACCCAAATATTACAGGGATAAAAAAAATTAAAAAGCAAAACCTAATTTCTGACATTTACTGTTTGTTATAATTTGAGTTTTAAATGCTCCGAATTTTTCGGATTTTGAAGAGATTTTTGATGATCTGACTCGGCTAGACTTGACGGTGGCGAAGATCGGCGCAGCTGGATGGACTCGGTCGGCGGCTGTAATTTTTTGCGGCGGCTAGTAAAGATGTTAGAGTTAGGTTAGTTGTTGGGCTAGGGTTTTGGTTTGGTTTGAGCCCGAGTTTAGGTTTCATTTAGATTTGTAATTAGACCCGGTTTAGGTGTTGTAAATAATAAAATAATAATAAATATATATTTTTATAATAAAATAATAATAATATAATATAATGGTTGAAAAACGGTGATTACAAATCTCATCGACCAAAACATTACAACAAGGGCATCTCACCTAGAGGTATCTATCATAACTTGCGGAGGTAATCGCAATCATATCTCATAAAATTATGGATCCTCCTTTATATACAGTGCTATGATCAATTTACATAATACTATATCCGTCCTATTAAATTTATCCTTTATTGATTTTTTAAAAGGATTTTTTTTTAAATTTTAATTATGATTATTTTATTAAATATTTTTAAAACTTAAATTTTATAAAATATATATTTCAAAACTAATTGATTGAAGATTTTTAAAACAATTTTTTTTATATTTTTATTAATAATGAATCAAAGATGAAAAGAAATTGATTAAAATAATCAATAAAAGGCAATTTGAATGGGATGGAGAAAATATAAAATTTAAAAGCATTATACGCCTTTTGAATAGTTTGATTAACTAAATTAAACAAATGAGATTAATTTTTTTAAATTAAAAACGGTTCACTTCGTTTATATAAATCTCATCATTTCTTTTTATTAATCTTAATGGTTCTTTTTCACTTTTTTAATTATTTAATTTTTTTTTATATTGTCTCGTATATATATATAAAAATTGTTCTGCTCTATTGATCATATCCGATATGACAGAACAATAAATGAAGTTTGGTTTATAAATTAACTCAGACTTTCTATTTTTAGAACCGAATTCCTACCTAAACAAAAAGCCAAATGGCACCGGTGATGAATTTGCTTTATTTATTTTTAATATATTTAATATGATATTAATTATATATACTTTTAATCGATAATTACATGATTTAGTGGGATGAAATATTAGATTCTTTAAATAAGGTCAGGAGTTCGAACTATAATGTTTACGAATAGGGTAAATTGAGGTGGGAGGATCTCCTTCACTTCTACAGTACCCGATCTGGATTAATCAGTCAATAAATTAAATACTAATGATTAATTCAATATATATATACACACTTTTAAAAATAATCATTGATCGAATGATATTTTATAAAAATAATTTAAATAAAATTAACTTTAAATATTATAATAAAATATTATTAGATCATTAGAAGATGATAAAATATCGGTGGCAAATGCAAGATTATTATGTAAAAAGGTTCACACAACAGTTACCACGAAGTCTATAAAATAAACTCAGTACTAGTTTCACCTATCATCAACGCTGCCAATATTATTTTATCATTACCAACAAGATGTCCACCCAAAGTCTCGACGCTCCTACTGGCCGAGCTGTTGGCGGAACCGAGAACAGCTGGTGCCGTGCGGTGCCCGGTGGCACCGGCATTGCCGTCTTGGCCATTCTTACTTCCAGAACCCCCGACGTTTCACGACTACGAAATGCGCTTCACAAGCTACAAAACTCCCACCCCGTTCTTCGGTCTAGGCTCCATTCCAGCCCTGCTTCCAACACTTTCTCCTTCGTCACGTCTCCTTCACCCATCATTCAAATCAAATCCTTCAACCATTCCGCCACTTCCACCATCCTCGAAAATCTTTACGGCCAAGAAACCCGAAACGTTACACTTACACCCCTTCATTTGATTCTCGAACATGAACTCAACCAAAATTCTTGGATTGGTTCATTTAGCACCGAGAATGACATGTTTTTCGTCAGTGCTTACGCTTTTCCTGGTGCAAAGTGGGTGTTGGTGCTCCGCCTGCATGCCGTCGCGTGCGACCGGACCACGGCGGTGTCGTTGCTACGAGAGTTGTTAACGTTGATGGGTAACGAAGAAGAGGAAATGGAAATCATGGTGAACAAAGGAGAGGTTAGTTCGGCGATCGAAGATCTTATCCCCAAGGGGAAAGCTAAGAAAACTCTTTTGGCACGGGGAATTGACATGCTTGGCTACTCTGTTAATTCCTTTAGGCTCACCAACTTAAAGTTCAAAGATGCAAAATCACCCAGATCTACTCAAGTAGTGAGGTTTCTCATCAACCCTGATGACACTCGTAGAATCTTGGCAGTAAGTAATTTGAGCCTCACAAATTTGAAGTATATTTCCTTTAATCGAGACTCAAACATGATGAAAGCTTTCAGGGTTGCAAGGCAAGAGGGATTAAGCTGTGTGGAGCATTAGCAGCAGCTGGCCTGATTGCTGCACACAATTCTAAATGCTATGCAGATCATCAAAAGAAGAAGTATGGAGTTGTAACACTCACTGATTGCCGCTCGATTCTCGAACCTCCTCTCTCCGATCACAATTTCGGTAAGCGAAATTCGAATTTGTCGAAGAACAATCTTCGAACATTGTCGAAATCGAAGTTTCATGTGATTAAAGTTCGGAATTCAATCATTAATATTGCCACAAGTACTTATTTTTACCATATTTGCTTTAATGAAAACTCTTGAAATTTTGTAGGATTTTACCACTCAGCTGTTCTAAACACGCATGTCATTAAAGGACGAGAGAAGCTTTGGGAGCTAGCACATAAAATCTACACCTTGTTTGAAAGCTATAAGAAGTGCAACAGACACTTGTTGGACATGGCAGACTTGAATTTCTTGATGTGCAGGGCCATTGAAAACCCTGGCTTGACTTCCTCCTCATCCTTGAGAACATCTTTAATATCAGTGTTCGAAGACACCGTAAACGACGATTCGAACGACCAGCAGAAGGTAGTTGGTGTAGATGACTACATGGGGTGCGCTTCATGTCATGGCATCGCCCCTTCCATTGCTGTTTTTGACACAATCCGTAACGGACTGCTCGATTGTGTCTGTGTTTATCCTTCACCCTTGCATTCGAGGGAGCAGATGCAGGAGCTGGTTGATGCTATGAAGTGTATTCTTGTGGATGCAGGGAAGAATCATGGCGGTGAACCAATTAAACCGTAGAGAAGGACGTATTAATGGGGAATCTTTAAAGACTGAGAACCAAACATGTCCCTCTACAAATTGTTTACTTAGCTTCTTAAATGGTAACTGGTTTGTCTTGTCCCACATTTACAATTACAATGTTACCATTTATAGCAATTATAATTAGTGGTGATTGAAGAACAATGTTACCTCCCCTCCGGATGTATTTGCAAGTAGATTTACTTTTCTATTAATAAAATTATGGGTAAATTACACTTTTATTATCCAACTATCACTTTTGTTCTCTTATAGTTATTCAATTATTTTTTTTCAAAATTATACGTAGTATTACGTTTTAATTTTATTTTGGTCACCCATGAATAAAAAATTAACAGAATTTGCTTACGTGCCATTTAAAAAAAATCTAATGGTGACATGACATTATCTAATGATGATATGTCAGCATCACCGTTACTTTTTTAACGACGAATAACTAAAATGAAACCAAAACTAAAAATGATTGTTAGAGTATTAAACATGTAATTTAGCCTAAAATTATTTAGTTTACGAACAAAACTTCGAATTATAAATTATCATGAATATTTATTTAAATTATTATTTGATACACACCGTGTAAGATTTATTTTTTTACAACGTGTCTATTTTAGTTATGAATCTAAAAAATTAAAATTCCAAATCATAAATTATAAACTCTAAGTTCTAAATCATAGACCTAAATCCTAAAATCTAATGTCTTAATCTCTAGATAGAAAAGGGAAATCTTACGTGCTACAGCCTAATATACTACTAAAAAAATATGATATTGTGGGTTGATATTGTAGGCTCGGCTAATATCTTAAATCATAGACCTAGATTCTAAATCTTAAAATCTAATATCTTAAACTTTAAATTTTAAATCATAGACCTTTATCCATCGGAGGAGCTGATATTGTGGGCTGGAAGCATGATAAAAGAAAGGTTTTCACGGTTTCTAGTGCTTATGAGGAAAGGATGCAGCTGGGCAGTGCTGTACCGTCTTCTCCTTGGGATAGCCTGCAGAAGTTAAGAGGCTTACCACGCGTTAAAATGCTGTTATGGACAATTTGCAAAGGGCGGTTGTTATCCAATGAAGAGCGCGTTCGAAGGCACTTGACAAGGGATCCTAGCTGCTCGAACTGCGGTGCTAATGTGGAGAGCAGCTCCCATATTCTCCGTGAATGTCCGGTGGCTATGGCAGCGGGGAAGGACTTAGTTAAACCAAATCTTTTGAATGAGTTTTTGGAATTTGGTTTGGTGTCTTGGATAGATAAGAATCTTCGACAGCCTCACTATTATCCGATTGATGAAACGGATTGGGATATTCTCTTCGGATCGGTGGTTTGGTGTCTTTGGACCTGCCGGAATAAATTGTTTTTTGATCTGGATTTTGTAGTGACTGAGAGCGTTTCACAGCAAAGCGTACGCCTCAAAGGTGAAACGGTCAATGCTTTAGTCAAAAGGAATGCTTGGAGGGCTGCCCGTCACCCAAGAGTACTGAACCGTTATGTGCACCGGAAAGTTCCACCGAACTGTTGGCTCAAACTCAATACTGATGGCGCTCGACAAAGTTCAACCGGATTGGCTACATGTAGGGGTGTTCTTCGAAATCAGCTCACCGACTGGGTTGCAGGTTTCTCGAAGAGAATCGGATATTGTTCGGTGATTGATGAAGAGCTATGGGGAATTTACATAGGCCTGCTGATCGCTTGGGAGAGGAATTTCAGAATAATCATCGTTGAAACTGATAGTAAGGAAGCCGTTTCTGTTCTTAATCAGCAGCCTGAAATAGAAGAAATTTATGCGATGGTAACACATATTCACGATCTTGTTCGACGCGATTGAAGGTTACAATTCTGCTATATGCCTAGAGAATGCAACCGGGTGGCCGATGGCTTAGCTCGTCTGGCTTGGAGTCTTCCTGCTAATTCACAATTGTTTTTGGAGCCACCAGAAGAAATCCTGGAGCAGTGCAATAAGGATGCTCAAGATGTCTTGAACTTTTAAATACTAGTTTTTCCTTTTGTATTCAATATATATATATATATAGAATTTACACCTCTTGTGTATTATTTTTTAGGTAAACTATGTATTTAGCCACTCATTTATTTTCGTCATTCTATTTTGATCACCCAATTATTATTTTTTCAAAATCATACTAAATATTATACTTTTGGTTATGTTTTCTTAATTTAAGTATTTAATATTTATAACAATAAATTTAATGAATAAAATACTATAGATGTTAAAATCTGAATTTCGAACAATTACTTTTTAATTTTTAAAAAATCAGTCCAATTTCAAGAATACATGATTTAATTGGATTTTTTTAAATATATATTTCATCATATAATAAATTTTGAAATTGAATAACAAATACTTTATTCGAATTAGCGACTGTAGAGTGAAGCTGAATTCAAATATTATATGAGTTCCTACGGATCACAATCACGTGCCGTCTTAGCTCAGCCGGTTGAGCGCGTGGGTTTTAATCACGTGGTCGTGGGTTCGATTCCCACACACGGCGGCGAAGCTGAATTATTTTTGGTAGGCAGATTTCGCTTGCCTTTTCCTCGCCTTTTGTTATCATTTTTTTAAAAAAAAAGGAAATAAAAAATATCTAAGGAACTTATTCGAACATTGTTCAGTGAACGAAAACAAATCTAGTAATCACTTTGCAGATATGAAGGCAGTTCTCATAGATGATGATGGAGTCAAACCAGGATTGTCAATGGCCTTACACATGAGGAAGTTTAGGTCACTCTTATCAGTGAAATGCTTGTTGCTCTTGCCTCTTGGCAGCGGAAAACGATGTATAAAATCTGCTTGCTAATCCCATACATCGTCACCGGTGGTCACATCATGCGAATTCAAGATTGCAGAATGGTAAAATGGGATAGTGACGATAATGGGAATGAACTAGTACATACCAAAATGATTGCTACTGAGTGCCGGCTCGAGAATAGATCGAAAGTCTGTGAGGGTTACAACAGCGTATTTGTCCCTTTAATTTTTGATGACCAGGGAAAGGTTTGGTGGAACGAGCTACAATCAAACCAGCAGCTGCCAGGGCTCCACAGAGCTTAATACCCCTTGATTTGCAAACCCGAAACAGAAATCGAATGAGACAGTTTATGGTTGCACTTGAAGGGTTTGTTTAAACAGAATGACTTACTTCCTAGGCTCATATGCTTGGAGTTACACTTGTAGTTTTCTTTGTATCATACAAATGCAGCTTCTGTTGCAGTGCAGATTTTGATCATGTAAATCACTTTTTGTTGGTAGATTAGATTTGAATCAACTTCAGAAGAACATGAGGTGAATTTTATTCATGAAATTCTGAGTTTTTCTTCTTGTAAATATATTTGCAGCAAGAGTTCATAATGTGATGCAACTAGAATTAGATAGATTACCCTTTAGAGATCATTTCCAGGCTGAAGAAATATTTTGGTTTAAGGACAAGAAATCTGCACTTGAGAAGCACTTTTCGTTGAAGAAGATTTACAGCAACAATCCTGTCAGTGTCATCTAGGTTTATCTTCAACCTCACAACCTGAGAACGTTGAGCCGAATTGGGTTGTGATTGATGAATCCAACAAACTGCACAAAGGAATCGGCCTGGTCGACTACGTGGGGTGTTCTTCGGTTCACGGCATTGGTCTAACCATTGCCATATTCGACACCATACGAGATGGATGTTTGGATCGCGTGCGTGTATCCGGCACCATTGCATTCAAGAGAACAAATGCAAGAACTGAGAGAGACAATAAAAAGAATTCTTGCAGACGGTAGTACCAATCTGCAAAGTGATAACTTGATTTTGTTTTCATGCACAGAACAATGTTTGCTCCATGAATAGCGCACAGCAGAGCCGTGCCAAAAAAAGGCAAGCAAATTATGAAAAGGCTACCAGAAAATATACAACTTGGCCGCCGTATGAGGGAATTAAACCCACGACCACATGGTTAAAAGACACGCGTTCTACCGGCTGCGCTAAGACAGCTTCCGGTAATATTTTTTTTTTAATAATTAACAAACTATGTATCAGCTTTACTCAATTACAGTCTCTTATTGGATTAAGTTTGAATTCGAATTAAAGGAAAGTAGTTGATTCAATTTCAAATTTTATTTTATAATGAAAAATATATGTAAAAGAATGCAAGTAAATTGTGTGTTCTTTAAATTGGACTATAGATTTTTGTTTTTTTTGTCTGAATTCCGACAATAACTCAAATGCAGATTTCTTGTCCTTAAACCAAAATATTTCTTCAGCCTGGAAATGATCTTTAAAGGGTAATCTATCTAATTCTATTTGCATCACATTATGAACACTTGCTGCAAATATATTTACAAGAACAAAAACTCAGAATTTCATGAATAAATTCACCTCATGTTCTTCTGAAGTTGATTCAAATATAATCTATAGGCCTGTAATAAACTGAACGTTCAGCAAACCGTTCATGAACCGTGCGACGGGAAGTTCGTTTATGTTCGTTTATTTATTAAATGAATGAACATGAACAAGATTTTACGTTCGTTTAATTAAATGAACAAACATGAACAAAGGGCTCGTTCGTTCATTTACGTTCGTGAACGTTCGATTATATGTTCGTTTATGTTTGTTTATTTATGTTCGAACAGAGGGCAAGTTAATATGTTAAGAAGATTATTGAAGTTGTTTTGATTTCAAGAAGATTGTTTTGTTGAACAAATTAACTTTAAGACTTTATGTTCATATAGCTTATTTATGATTTATGTATGTTTTTTTCATATTCGAACAAATTAACACTAAAGTTCCAGGTTATATTAATGAATTTTAAGTTGTTATTCTTGTTGTTTACTTTTTTTACATTCATTTGTTGTGTTCGAATAAGTTTTTTTTTGTGTTTGTGTTGTTCGTTTATGTTTATTCGTTTGTGTTCGTTTATCATTTAAATGAACAAACATGAACAAGCTATATTCCTTAATGAACGAACATGAACAAAATTTTTTTTGTTCGTTTATGTTCGTGTTCATTTATGTTCGTTTATTAAATAAACGAACATGAACATATCTCCGTTCGTGTGCGTTCAATTCGTTTTCAGGCTTACTAATCTACTTACAAAAAGTGATATAACATGATCAAAATCTGCACTGCAGCAGAGGCTGCATTTGTATGATACAAGAGAAAACTACAAG